GCCACCCATGTAATACTGCACGTCCGACAGCCTTATTGAATAAAAGTACCCATCCCACTTCGGTAGATACAATACAATGCACGCTAATGGATTTTTATGAATGCCGATATTTTTACATCACTGTAATTCAAGTATGTGGGAGTGGTCGTCAAAGCCATAAACAAGCTGTTTACAACATACATATCTTCTACACACATCCACCCAGAATATATTACGTGTCGCTATATATTCATATTCAGGGAGGAAAATGTTTAAGCCTCATGACTCGTACATCAACTGCGGTCGATACTATAACACGATTCAGTTGTAACAGTTACTTCACTTTCGAATTGGTTGCTGTCTTCAGAAAAAAGATAATTTATTATAAATATATCCTCTATTGGATTATATGACTACTGCCAACAATGTATCAAAATGGTTCAATTCATTCATGTACGTTCCTTTCTGTATAGTCTAGAATATAACCTAAAGTTGTGGGCAAGGAAAGCAGAGTATGCAAATTGTTGTGAGGCCATCTGACTGAAAATGTTTTCTTGGGATAAGTGAAAAACCTTCCACTGATGTCTCACATGTATTTATTTGACTCGCACGTAGTGCCTGATTTAATGCTGACTCAGAACGTTTGGTTTAAAGAAAACACTTTTATTTCAAATGTTATCACCGAAGTCATAGCTGAACGCAGTAAAGAAGATAATATAAACTTGTTTACTTGCTTAATGTTTTGTATTGCTAGCACATTGTGTCTTGGAAATGGTAATTAACGTTATAATGCTATACGGAATTGTTAACTAGCAATATTCCAACTATATATGGCAGTGTTGTGGGAACCACAGGCATTCATGTGATTGACATCACCACTCCACGGATACGATACATATTGCATCAACCGAGTGCGAGATCTGGACCTATCCCCACACGATCCCGTTAGTCGCCTCTTATTGAGTATGGGAAGGCAAAGTTTGATCCGGGTGTTTAACAGACTTCCCAAGATGTAACTGGAAATCTTTCAACGTGTTTACGCTGACGGAGTGTGTAGACAACAACAACGCAAGACACCAAGTACAAATGTAGTAATCTCGTGAAAGTAATGCATCACCACAGTCCAGCTGCGAACGCGAGCCACACAAATATGAAGCAAAGAACGAAAACGCGGATTTCAGGTTCGCGGTAACACACGTTTTCGGATCCAGGTGTAATTTCGGATCTCCAAGTTTTCGGATCGTCCGGTGTGTATGTTCGGATCCTATGTATATTACGGATACGTAACGTTTTGTGGTTGTCAACGACTGTTGAAATCTCTAAAGTGGAGGTAAAATCCGAGAAGTGTAGTCTCTGCTAAAGAAAGCGTTGATTTCGTCGGCGAATGCTGTAGGGATCCGAAATTACGCGAAACCCGCGGCCTCGCCATATTACCAAGTGTAGTATCTGGTTAACCAGCACATTCCGGGAGCTCTTCTTGTATTTCAGTCGGCGGCAGTGATGACAGCGAGTGACCAGGACCACAATTATGGTTGCGTGATTACGTACATCGCCAACCCGGTTAGCCAGTTTGTTTGAGGGTAATGTTTGAGCGCCGACAGCGCCATTCACGTACGCAAACCGTGCGCGTTGCAGGTGTAGGTATACGCAGTTTTACCTGTAAGTAACGCAGTTCACACACTGCATGGAGTTTAAATGAATCAATACACGTTGATATGATATCTGAAGTGCGCTGATCTACTGAAATGATATTAATGTTGATTTTCATTATTTTGCTGGATTTCAAGTTTAGCATTAACGGTTGTCTCCCTTTGATAGGTAGGCTCATTGTCAGGCTAAATTATTATAGTCTGGTGATTTTGTAGACCATACGATTTTGGTGTATTGTGTCTGTTAAAATTTAAGTAACAGATATTCATATTTCTGTGAAAATAGACCTCAGGACAATAAAAAATGTGACTGGAGAGATTTCCAGCTGAGATCCTGACGGATTTTCAAGGTATCACAAGCGTTCGTAAAATATATACATATGTGAACGGCTGGTTGAAAATCGATCTCACCACACTAAACCAGCATTCAATGTCCCATCTCAAACAAAGGAATTCTAAGTTTTTGAAGCACCCAAGATTTCCATCGGGTAATTATAAATGGGAAACGTGGGCTTTATATAACATAAAACACCAGCTGATCTGAAATCGGCTGAACATAACCTGCTTATCGTTAGAGTTTTTAAGCGACTATATTGATTCGGTATCCGGGATCGGTGAAATGTTTGTTTGTGTGTCTCTAAGGCCCTGGTTGTGAGGGTGTACGTAAGCACAATCACATGATTGTCGGCTCCGTCTCAATCTTCAACCTCGAGCTCCGTTTCCATTGGAATCCAGAGCGCCTGTGACACAAACGAAACTATCAGTCCTCCGCCATATGTTATACTAGTTATTTAACCCCGACCCCCAGACTTAACATTGTCAAAATATACAACGTATGCTTGGGCCTATGTCCGAATCAAGCGTAGATTACTGTCTGCATCAAAGAAGATATTTACATATAATAACTGTCTTTAATGTGCATACTTATTATCTCATATTATGACATCACAATACCCTGCGTATATAGTAAAAGAAACAAAGTTATGCAAGTTTCTGTATAATTATTTCATGATGTTAAACATGCTTGAATAAATAACTGTCACTGACTAAGAAAAATATTTTATTTCACAAAACACATAAATATACCGTATCTAATAGCAACAACAGTGGGGTTTGATTGGTGTTCTCCTTGTCTTAACATCTATGCTGGTATTTCACAGATATTTTTCAGTTATACTACATATTTGTATTAGGGGTGAAACAAAAAGTACGTTATTAGAATGAATTTTCTTATATCCACAACATTTGTTGTTGAAATCAGTTCGGAAAGATTATACAGTGTCACTTATTCGTCTGAATTATGAAAACGAATACTATGCAATCAGCCATTAGCCGTAAGAACGCAAGAAAAAAAATTTCTGGAATGTCATTCATGATGTATAATTCACCTGTGTTGGCATATGACCTTCACGACAACAAGGAAAGACCTTTCTTCACTAACTGCAGTAAACACACTCATTGGCAACACAAACGCTCTAAATGCCTAATCGAACATCAGCCTATAGAAGTAAATTTAGTTTTTAAAGTGAATGGTCAAGAGAAATGGACTGTGTGACGGATACATATAATGTGTCCCATCACATCTGTATCTAGGACAGTTTTCACCCTCAGCGTGAACCTTTCAGTCTGAAAGGACCCCAGGAGTGAAACCAGAAACTTAAAAGCCCCATATGTTTTTGTCTCTTCCATCCAACGAAAATGTCAAAATTCCGTCTACTAGCATACAGCTTAACTGCCAGTATTATGTATGCACGTAAACTGAAATGACATGAAAGGGAAGAGATGTTTACATTCAAAGGGTGCTTCATTTGTAACAATGCATCACATACATAAAATTAGTTTAATGCCTACTTTTAAAAATGTTTGGTTGACACTGGAATTAGCCGAAGAGGAAAATTGCCCAGTGTAAAGCTTATAAAAATGCACAAACAGCAATGTAAAGATCAATGGCGACAATTGACTGCATGCAGTACTCCGGCATATGGCTGCTTTCTATGTATAATATCGCTATGTAACGGATTACTTCAGAATGGCATGTTGTAAATGAAAAAAATGAAGTGACGTATATAAAGACCGTATCCCACAAGTGGTAAAGTGTATTAAAAGTTTCAGATAGGAGTTTGAGAGTAACATATGTTATATGTCTAATAACGATTTTCCTACCTCTTTACAACATTTTTATGTTAAATAGCATTTTATATTTGTCACGAGGAGACCGCGTAATATCTTCTGTAGGTATTATCAAATCCTAGACATAAATACGACTATCTCACGCCATGGTCCTTCCCATAATCGGAAATGATAGATTCCAAATTTCATCACATATATGTGGAGGGAATTTTTTTGAAATGTTCTTCACACATACATTAAAGGTTGTATATACGGATGAAAGGCAATATTTCGAAGATACCGTTTCAGGTTCGCGGCTTTTAGGGAAGAGATGTTAAAACAGGAAAGCTAATAGTGATGGTTTCTGTATACAATTTGCTTAAAAGTGAGTGCCGCTTGAAGAAACCTACCAGCATTGTCACGTCGAGGGACACCATTAATGGGCTTCGCATATTGTACCCATGTCGAGAATCGAACCCGAGTCGTCGGCGTGACGAGCGAACGTTTTAACCGTTAGGTTACCCCACCGCCCCTATTTCACACTAGGTTTACGAGACCAATAGATAAAAAAACGGACTTTACACATTGTACCCATCTGGGGAATTCGCGTACAAGAATATGGTACTTAGAGTTAAACATGTGGAAAACTACATCTTACCAAATGAAGGTTTGTAGACATGTGAATATTTGTGATTATCAAAGCTAACTGGTCAGATGACGCTGCTTTGAGCCATGGTGCAGCAGAATACAAATTTTAGAAAAAAAAACATTAATAAAATTTAAAAAAACACATCATCAGAACAGCATGTTTACCTTTCATATCAAAAATGAAAAATATCCTGCGTGCGTATTTACAATAGTGGAATAAAAGCGACACAACCCGTTCCACGTTCATAAGAGATATGTGCTAAAAGCAGAGTCGAGTGTACAATTGTGACCATATAAAGAGTATGTATTTGTTTCAGCAGTATTATTCGATGTTGTATGTAAACAAATCGAGTCTGGACCAGACAGTCCAGTGATTGTCACCATGCGATACGATGACGATGTGTTTATGAATCACTATGAAACAGTGATGATAAAAGGTGCTCGCGAAAAGATGAGCGTATCCTGACTCACCGATGGCACCCATCATAAACATATGCTAAATCGAGTCAGTTGTTTACCTGAACTAATTCGGGAACGTGTGGCATAAGTCAACATAGGGCATTACATAAATTTTGTCACTGATGCATCAAATTTGGAATGTCAAATACAAACAAATAGAAACTGACGTCAATCCCTACTTAAGTACAACTGTGAACCTGGAGACGAACACTGCCAAAACAAGAACCCCGAACTTGATGAGTGGGGCATCTGTTGCCAGCACAGTCATGCATCCTAGGACAAAGACCGGCAGGATGATGTACAGCAGAAGGATCCCTGCAGCCTGCTGCAAGAGAAGTTCAAAGTCCTCCCTGTAGTATATAAACTTCCTCTTCAGCTCGTTCCTGATGTCCCCGTTGCAATCATTGTTATCTTCATCTGGGACACAAAACGTAGAATATACTTTCTATTAATGCGAACATTCAATAAAACAAAGGTTTGTTTGTTCCAGCTATATTGCAGGGGTCTGTAAATAATCGACTCTGGACCATACAATCTAGTGATCAACGAACATGACCATCGATCTACTCAAATGGGATACGATGATATGTGTCAACCAAACCAACGAGCCTGACCACCCGATCCCGAACAGTGGTCGATTAGTCGCATCTTAAAACAGGCATGGCTTACTGAAGACCAATTCTAATTCTCGATTTCACGGCTAAAGCCTATATAGATAATTAATATTGATGTATGTTGTTTCTAGAAGATGAATATTACTTCCGATATTGCAACATTCTAATATACAAGTACATGATGTAACCTAAACACCCCAAACCCCAAATAGATAGTATTGATACAGAAAAAGATCAATATGTCTACTCATAATCCATGAATTAAATAAAACGTTTGACGCTGTAAGGGCCAAATATATTAACCAAAATATTGAAATTTGCAAGCTGGCAATATATTAATCTATTTGCTCCATAATGGACAACGTGAAAATTGCATGTTGCCTCTGGTTATAGTTGTGATGTGTTGATGGTCAGTTTACAGAACATACCAGAACACGAGTCCTTATCTGAATTGCTTGTTGCTTCTGTTGGTCTCGTGAAGTTGTTAACAATGACATTTCCTATTTGAAAACAGATGAAGATTAATAAAAATATTTCAAATATGAACGTCGACGCCATGGAATAACAAGTACTGACTACCCACAGAAACAAATTCCACAAATTTGAAACAATAAACAGGAAAAATTGCGGTGATACCGTTAGGAATGGATCGTTGGAAAACATTGCAATGCTTAAGCGTAATACCTTTTGTTTGCTTGTTGTTTTACGCCACATTCAACAATATTTCAGATTTGTGACGCAGATCCATACATAACGAATCTGGACCAGACAACCCTGTGACTGACATAATGATCTTCAATATGATGACCTGTGTCAACCAAGTCATTGGGCTTGAAGACCTCCCGATCCCGTTATTGCCTCTTACGACAAGCATGGGTTGCTGAGGACCAATTCTAACGTCTAGCGTTGATTCAATATAGCATTCATGAAAAAGCCAGAGATTACCTTGATGGGCTGGACCGCTGCTTATACCTGCAGCATATGAAGTATCCACTGTTCCCCCAGCTATTCCTGTCATATGGATTTGAGCAGGATCTAGTTCAGATAGGTAATTCAATTTGAAACAGTTTGAACATGAGAGGATATTCACATTTAGCTTCCATTTATTCGATCGACATGGGAACTACAAATACATGTAATAGAGAAAAATGAGAATAGTGAAAATTTACTGGCTGTTGTTCTGTTTCGACATATCCCGTTAAAGCTTACAATGTATTAATTTAAGTATCGTGGCAAATACACCACGCTCGATAAACTTGCATATCGAGGGGCAATATATTATAAGGTATATCTACTTATACTTTCATATCTTCTCTATGTTTCCAACAGTGCCACACTCACCTGACTCCCATCGTCTCGTAGGACCAGCCAAAGGAGGCTCTGTAGAAAAATTGTTTAAAGTAGACATCCATTACTGAGACCTATTAAAACAGTCACATTGAACAAACACACCATGCTCTCGTCTTCAGGGATTTAGTTCACAGGTGTATACTGCTCAAAAGCATTAGGGATGACTGGTCACGATTCCTGAAAGGTTTTGTTTTGTAAATTGAGACTGAGTGAAACTAATCACCATATATTATTCCAGTGTGCAATGAGGAATATAAGAACCATCTAGGGGTAGGTATTGCAGAGAATTTTCACATTGGATATATTGCGATGCGAAAGCATATATTGCGATATGTATTTGCAAGAAGTTTTTTTTAACAATAAACTACTTATAATCGAGTTTACGCTTTATTTATAAAGCAAAAACACAACAAAGTCACAATGCTTGATTAAGCTTTGATAAACACCTTCAATCATGATAAAATACGAATATAAATAACATTTGGCACAAATGAAACAAGGAAAAGAACAATTTAACATCAACTCAGAGGTTACTAGTTTGAACTACTTTCTCCACTCTCAAAGAAGCCCTGAGATTTTAGACAGCAACTTGACCTTGTCATTGGTCATTAATGAGTAAATATTTAAAACATTCTGATTTCCAAAACATTGCTAAACGCTTGAACAAAAATTAAGAACACAACTTCCAACCGAACTTAACAAACCAGTAAAATGTAAAATCTTTGAAGGGCATGTAGAAGTGGAATGCATAAGAAAAGCAAGATTTATGGATGTCAACTTCATTCACAATATAGAAGTTGACATCCATAAATCTTGCTCTTCTCAGTTAAATGTAATTTTCATCACGATCATTCACACCACCATTACCACAGTTGCCACAAGATCAAGATTTCCGAGTGTTACGAAGTTTTCCGAATGCATGTCAAAATACCGGTTTTCGATCAGCGTATCGCAATACGTATCGTTTTCATGTCTGAACCGGTTAATACCGGTAAACCTATTATATTTCGCAGCCCTAATTACAACTCACATGAATGTATCAATGCCTCTTCCATCCCACTCGGGTAGCGTTATATTCGTGAAATAAATCAACAATTTTGGTTTTAAATGAAACAACTTAAGTTCAATAACAGTTATATGAATTTAAACCTTTACCCTTTAAGGATCTATACCCAGCTTTATGAACATCTTAATTCACACATAAGTTTAGACTTATTTGTTGAAGTTTATATATCACACTTGTGACATTTGAGGTGGTGGGTTAGCCTTGTGGTTAAAGAGTTTGCATTGCTCGTAACCCACAAGGTTATAATGTGTGAAGCCCATGTCTGGTGTTCCCCGCGGTGATATTGCTGGATAAAAGCTAAAAGAGCGTAAATCGCCACTTTCCTACACTGTGTTTTCTTACCGGTCTGTCGTATGTCCGGGACGCTTTGGCTAGAAGCTTGGTACTGAAGCTGGGCGTGGCAGCAGCAAGATCCTCTTCTGGTCATGCAAGGACCAACGTCATGGCCATACTGCCATGCAGCTGAATAGGCACGTTGGCGGGCCGGGGAGTCCGTTAACGCCCCGTGGTGATCCGGTGACTGTTAACAGTAACAAGACTGATTTATTGTATATTGACAAGACAATATAGCGAGACAATAAAGAAATGGAAGTGTTATACAATTCATGCACTTGCACGAGTGCAGCTCTGTGTCATGTCGAATGAACCTTTTATACCCTCATTGACAGTTAAACCACAAGCGTGGCTTTTCTGGGATACATTTTCTATCTTGATTCTTGTAGTTTCAAAAGTCGTTCTCTAGTTTTCAAGTTCAGTAAAAACAAGAAGAAAAAACCAAAACAAAGACGTCATACCCGCCACGAAAACAAAAATGGAGACTTAGGCAATCAAATTGTGTCCACATTCATATAATGACGCTTGTTGGCATATGTCATTTTTGATAACCCACATATAAGTACATATAAGAACCATATGGTTGGAGCCCCCTGAGTGTATTTTAGAATATATAAAAGTATACATGTTAGCGCCTTTCGCAAGAAATAGCGGAATGTGTCAGCTGAGTACTTACTGTACATACATCGTTACTGTCATTACTGGATTCACATGATGACACTTCCCCAACTTCCAACGGATGTGCTGTTCAATAAAAATTAAGCAAAGAGTAACCACTGTCCTTTACCCGTTAACAGTGCAGCGATGGCACTAATAGTTATGCAGTGATATACAAGTGATAGCTTCATATCTAATATGAGCATGTATTCCCTAAACTATGACTGACTGACTGAGTTTAGTTTTACGCCGCTTTTAGCAATATTCCAGCAATATCACGGCGGGGGACCCCAGAAATGGGCTAAACACATTGTGCCCATGTGGGGAATCGAACCCGGGCCTTCGGCGTGACGAGCCAGCGCTTTAACCACTAGGCTACCCCACCGCCCCCCTAAACTATGAACATTCTGAAAAGTATCTGTTGTGTCTGGTTGTTGTTTAAAGCCGCGCTCAGCAATGTTCCAGCTATTTAGCAGCGGTGTGTAAATAATTGTGTCTGGACCAAACACTCCAGTCTTCAGTGTCATGAGAATCGATGCAAAACTCTTTGCGAGTTGTATAACAAAAACTGATAGTGCATTTTATGTATAAATTCATACATGACTGTATTATCTTAAGTATCAAGGTAAGAATGAGTTTGACAATTTCTCAGATAGATGTCTACCGAGATGTAATCTCTATAGGTTTTGAAAAGGTAACAAGCAACCTCTTCGAAATGAAGAGTAAAGTGTTGTGTAAAAATTATGTTTTGGTGTTTTATGTATGAATAGTATTCTATTTTATCAACATATTTTACCTGAAACTTCTTTCTTGGTTCGATTGTGCCGGTCGAGTCTTCCTTCTAAAATAGATCAAAATGATTGTCAGTTGATGAATCGAGGTGATGCTAAAAGGGTTTAACGTCGTTTTCAACATTACTACTCAACGGCAACGTAAATGCACGTGTGTTTCTGCTTGTGCAAATCCGCACATCGTGTTTATATTGTCTACCCACTGAGATACCATGGAGCAATCTATCATGGATACCCCACTCAGACATAGTATCCTATATCAGTCGATCAGTATTTCCTTTATCCGCTCCGTGCTCCGTATCACAATGCCCTCGTGTCATTGCAAGGATTAAAGATTAAAATAAATTTGAGATGACCCCCGACTCGAAATGCTTCACAATACAATAAGTCATGATCGTGATTTATTGTACTGTGAAGCATTTCGAGTCGGGGGTCCTCTTAAAATATTATAGTTTTTAAGGTACTGTGAAGCATTTCGAGTCGTGGATCATGTCAATAAAAAAAATGTATTTATCTATTTTTAATCTTTAATTCTCGCAAAGTCGCGAGGGCTTGGGCTCTGAATATCAAAACTTCCCGTGCCTTGTTATGCCTGGGGTATGGAATCACTGAACTTAATTAGGAATACGAAATGGCGTCAAAATCATGCTGTCAGGTTGTCAAGATGTCACATTCTACTCACACTAATACAGACAGAACATAAGATGAGTTAGGAGAAGAGATGAGACTAAGGCCAAATATGATAATGATATTTATCATAACATTAGTAGAACATGACCTACTCTGTTTCCTTGTAAGCTGTTTTTGATCATGGCACTCCGTCTGGCCTTGTTGAAACCTTTTGCGTCGCGAGAGTGTTCTTTTCAGGTTTGCCAAATGACCTGTAAAGTTTTCATGGATTATATGTTTGTAAATAATCATACTATTTCACATTTGGAATCCACACTCGAACTAAAATTCGACAGACGTAGAAGCTAAGTTGTTTAAAAAATGGTATACATTTAAGGGAAGATAATTATCGTACAAGAATGTAGATCCGTCACCTATGCCAAATTTCCCTTTATTTCTTCTGTAAATATATCTATCGACCTGGTATGATTACATATTCTCATTGTCTAGTCAGTACAAACTTACTAACCCATTACGTTTCACATGTTGAACAATCCGTTATTTCAGCACACTCTGCAAGAGACAAATTAATAGATGAGACATTAAAAGATATTCATAAATACTGAAACTTAAGAAAATTAATATGAATGATCTCTATATGTAAATATATATCGCTAGTTATATACTATTGATTCATAATATTTACTATAAATTTTATAACAGACGGGATATGTTGGATTTTCAGAAACGTTACCGTCAAAGAAAAGCGTAAAGTGAGTGAGTAAGTTGGGTTTTACACCGCTTTTAACAATATTCCATCATTATCACGACGGGGAACACCATGAATGGGCTTCACACAATGTACCCATGTGGGGAATTAAACCTGGGCCCTTGGCTACCACACCGCTTCTAAAAGACAGCAGGATTACACAATGAAGGAAGATAAAATGATACTGGTCATATGTGGCAAAAGTGGTTACTTCTTGCTGTAATAGATATTATATAATGTAAAGTACAGTGACGGCGAGGATGTGTGCACCGTGGGTATTTTTTGTGGGAGTTATGCGTAATCTACACGTATATGTACACGGATATATGTCAGGGATGGAGGACTTTCTGTATGCGAGAGCATGTACGTGTGCTAAGGACTTCCTAACTCAACATGAGTCACTTTACAGATCTCTTAATTTATCTTATTCAAATTATGATTGTATGTTGAGAGTCTCATAGGCAATACATGCCTGGATGTCGTATTTAAATCCCCTTTGTTCGTTTCTCTCTCTCATCCGAGCGTTTCCCCAGGAATGGGTTTGTTTTCATACATGACGTGTACATTTGTCAAAACTAGCATTGTATCATAATAACTGAGGTGTATCAAATACAGAGGACGTCGTTAGTACATCGAGTCGTTACACATTTTCAGCTTGACTTGTAGGGCACAAAGTCCCGTGTAGTAGGCAATACTTCAACAGGGGTATTTGTCTGTTTTATCAATGCAATCTCATATTATTTCAACTCTCCAGGAGTATATTATCTAACGTTGGCCATCATCCAAATTACACCTGAGAGTTTCCCAGGAATGGATCCATTTTTATACTTACGTCATATCATTACGTGTACATTTATCGAGACTATCATATACGAAAATAACTGAGGTATTTCAACGTCTACATATACTGAGGTTATCTTCAGTACATACACTCATTACACTGTTACGCTCCACTTAAACGACACACAGAAGGGCACATCTGTTCGGGTCACCTGTATGAACTGAAGCACAGTAGCAAGAATGTATTGCAAGATTACTTGGGTTTTCCCGAAGATTACATCTCTTGATCTTGTTAAGTTCATCTGAGATTCCTCAGGAAAGGGTCTAGTTTCATATACAGTAAGGGCGGATCCAGGATTCTGAAGATGGGGTGTGGGACGGGTTTGGAAGATGGCGATGGGGGTTGGGGTGGTTGCACATACATCATGAAATTCAAAGTTTAGGGGGAAATACTCCCCAGAAATATTTTTATCGGCGGGGAGGGGTCAGCATATCAAGGAGAAGCAATTCTAAATATCATTATATTTTCAAACAACAAGTTATTGAAAGTGTCAACCCAACTAAGCGTACAATAAACAGAATACATTCTGTGAAAGTATCCGTAAGGACTTATGCATATTTCTTGTGTTACGTGTAGGTTACCAAGCTGAAACGCTTAACCGGGAATTAGGTGTAAAAGAACTAGGAGTAAAGCCAGCAAACAACAAGTAAATGTGATCTAATTAACAGTTATATTCTAAAATTAACTGAGTTCACAAATCAATACAAATTTTAACCAATACAAAAATAAGCAGCCTAAAATTAGCAGCGGGTTCGTTTTTCTCTTTTCGTTTTTCAAATAACGAATAACGTGATAGCAACGCTATTAACTAAAACCTTACCTGTTGCAAACTTCAGGCTGTCACAAAGATATCACTATTGCAGTAGAAATCACTATGGCTGTACAATATATTGTGGCAGTACAAATTCAGAGGCAGTATTCTACAACAGTACTGATTGCAGCAATGAAGACATTATTAATGCGCTAAACTTAAAAATTCATTCAATAGGTGAATGCTCATAGAGCTAACAATAAAAGCACAGCACATTATTACCCCGGAAAACCCAAGGCGCTAGAAGGTTAATATCGCGTACCTATTTTCTGCTGGGTGAACAGAGGTAATTTTGTACAAACTCACTTGCCTAAGGTATCACATGTGCTTCATTGATGGTAACATTCACCTCTTAGTGGTAATCCTTTCGTGGTAATCTTCTCAGTAATAATGCAACGGAGGGCTAGGCAGGGCTTGTTCCAAGGTAGAGAGTAGTCACACAAAATGATGGTCTTCTTGTATCCATGACTGCTTAATGGCTATCAATAAAGAGTTGTACAACCCCAGTGAATCATATAGCACTCCTGTAAGCCCCTAAAATAGCATCAGCGTGAGCATTGCACATGCTTAGGCATACGCCTTAACAAAAAAATCACGAGTAGAGGAACTGGATATGCATATGTTAACCGTTGTGGAACTCGACTCAAATAAACAATACTTCTTGTTCAATAATATACAGTGTGGTGTATGTCCCTTCCCGTCTGTTCCTGGTGATTTATCATCTCTAAAGGAACACATCTCCTTCACTAAAATCTTTGTTCCTGGATACGAGTAGTTGTGATCATAATATTTACGATGCAGCAAAGAGTACACACCGATTAACATTCTAACTGTGTACGATGGCTAAACAAATACTGACATAGAGAACTTTAATCAACATATAAACCAGAAGGAAAAATATGATTTCAAACAATTATGATATGTAATCAACTCATGGGACTTATGTTTAACCCACGTCAAGAAGCATTGGAAAGGTTAATTGTGTTATGTTCAAGTCAACATCACACAACTGTGTGTCTAAATGTATAGGTGCTAACAAACGAAATACAAACCAAGGATGGAATTCGACTCTGCACTTCCAAATACGGGGTCCTAGATTTGTCCCTCTCGGAGATGAATATAACTAAATGTCACAAAACCTTCATTACTGACTGAGTGTGAGTGGAGGAAGGGTGATAGCAAATTAATTGTCCGTCTGGATCAAGTAAACCAGTTCATTGGGTCGTGAACAGCTACAGACGCCGTGGCAGCTAAGTAACAATTATGTGTTTCGGTGCTTACAGAAATGTAGTCCGAATTCGTCTTTAGCAAACCAGTGGAGGCGAAAGGTATAGGGTGGTCAGACTCACTTGCTTAGTTGATGCATGTTATCGTAACCAAACTGCCTGGATTGATGCCTGATGCTCATGATGTCAATCACCGGATACTCCTGCGACGTTAAACATCGAAGCAGAGATACTCTGATTACCTCGGAAAGCAAAATATGTTTTCAACTAGTTTTGAGTGTTTGGGTATCCCAGTGGGTAACGCTCATCACGAATGATTTCGATATCCCAAATTAACCCAGTGTGTAAATATCCACACTGTCAGAATATTGCTTAAGCAGTAGATAAAACATGATGTATTTGAAAATCATTAATAACGCTATATAGATATTCGCCCCTCACCATGCATCGTAACATGAGAGATTTCGGGCGAGTGCTTCTTCATAGCAACACCTGCTTATCGTTAGAGTTTTTAAGCGACTATATTGATTCGGTATCCGGGATCGGTAAAATGTTTGTTTGTGTGTCTCTAAGGCCCTGGTTGTTAGGGTGTGAGGTGAGGTGAGGTGAAATTAGGTTAAACGTCGTGCTTGAGAATATTTCGCTCATATGACGACGTGCATGCGTGTGTATGTCTATGTGCGGCTGCTTGTACTAGCCAAGACTGAAGCTGGTTTTATAGTGTTAGTCCACTGAGATACCACGCCGCAGTGAAGCATGAATACCCCACTCAGACACATTATACTGACTCCGAGCCGACCAGTCCTTGTTGTACCCAATAATGCCGAGCGCCAGGCAGTACCATATTTTAACGTCTTTTTGTATGACGCGGTCGTGGATCGAACCTGCGACCTTCCGCTCTCCGGGAGGACGCTCTAACCACGACACCACGGAGGTGGTTGTTAGGGTGTACGTAAGCACAATCAAATGATTGTCGGGTCCATCTTAATCTTCAATCTGAGCTCCGTTTCCATTGGCATCCAGAGCGCATGTGACACAAACGACTCCACCATATGTTATACTAGTTATTTAACCCCGACCCCAAAAGGAAAATAAAACTCAAAAACCCAGAATTAACATTGTCAAAATATACAACGTATGCTTAGGCCTACGTCCGAATCAAGCGTAGATTACTGTCTGCATCAAAGAAGATATTTACATATAATAACTGTCTTTAATGTGCATACTTATTATCTCATATTATGACATCATAATACCGTGCGTATATGGTAAAAGAAACAAAGTTATGCAAGTTTCTGTAGAATTATTTCATGATGTTAAACATGCTTGAATAAATAACTGTCACTGACTAAGAAAAATATTTTATTTCACAAAACACATTAATATACCGTATCTAATAGCAACAACAGTGGGGTTTGATTGGTGTTCTCCTTGTCTTAACATCTATGCTGGTATTTCACAGATATTTTTCAGTTATACTACATATTTGTATTAGGGGTGAAACAAAAAGTACGTTATTAGAATGAATTTTCTTATATCCACAACATTTGTTGTTGAAATCAGTTCGGAAAGATTATACACTTATTCGTCAGAATTATGAAAACGAATACTATGCAATCAGCCATTAGCCGTAAGAACGCAAGAAAAATAATTCTGGAATGTCATTCATGATGTATTCACCTGTGTTGCCATATGACCTTCACGACAACAAGGAAAGACCTTTCTTCACTAACTGCAGTAAACACACCCATTGGCAACATAAACGCTCTAAATGCCTAATCGAACATCAGCCTATAGAAGTAAATTTAGTTTTTAAAGTGAATGGTGAAGAGAAATGGACTGTGTGACGGATACATATAATGTGTCCCATCACATCTGTATCTAGAACAGTTTTCACCCTCAGCGTGAACCTTTCAGTCTGAAAGGACCCCAGGAGTGAAACCAGAAATCTTAAAAGCCCCATATGTTTTTGTCTCTTCCATCCAACGAAAATGTCAAAATTCCGTCTACTAGCATACAGCTTAACTATCAGTATTATGTATGCACGTAAACTGAAATGACATGAAAGGGAAGAGACGTTTACATTCAAAGGGTGCATATTTTTAAAATAAATGCATCACATACATAAAATTAGTTTAATGCCTACTTTTAAAAATGTATCCAACAAGAGGTAAAGGGTATTAATAGTTTGTGAGTTACATATGTTATATGTCTAAAAACGATTTTCCAACCTCTTTCCAACATTAAACCAAAATGATTTTTATGTTAAAAAGCATTTAACATTTGTCAAGAGGAGACCGTGTAATATCTTCTGTAGGTATTATCAAATCCTAGACATAAATACGACTATCTCACGCCATGGTCCTTCCCATAATCGGAAATGATAGGCTAGATTCCAAATTTCATCACATATATGTGGAGGGATTTTTCTTTGAAATGTTTTTCACACATACATTAGGGAAGAGATGTCAAGACAGGAAAGCTGATAGTGATGGTTTCTGTATACAATTTGCTTAAAAGTGAGTGCCGCTTGCAGAAACATACCGGCATTATCACGTCGAGGGACACCATAAATTGGATTCGCATATTGTACCCATGTCGAGAATCGAAACCGAGTCGAACGTTTTAACCGTTAGGATGCCCCACCGCCCCCTATTTCACACTGGGTGTACGAGACCAATAGACAAAGAAAACAGACTTCACACATTGTACCTATATGGGGAATTCGCGTACAAGAATATGGTACTTAGAGTTAAACATGTGGAAAGCTACATCATACCAAATGCATGTTTGTAGACATGTGATTATTTGTGATTATCAAAGCTAACTGGTCAGATGACGCTGCTTTGAGCCATGTTGCAGCAAAATGTAAATTTTAAAAAATTAATAAATTACGTAACATCACCAGAACGGCGTGTTGAACCTTTCATGATCAAAAGTGAAAAATATCCTGCGTGCGTATTTACAATAGTGGAATAAAAGCGACACAACCCATTCCACGTTCATAAGAGATATATGCTAAAAGCAGAGTCGAGTGTACAATTGTGACCATATCATGAGTATGTATTTGTTTCAGCAGTATTATTCGATGTTGTATGTAAACAAATCGACTGGACCAGACAGTTCAGTGATTGTCACCATGCGATACGATGACGATGAGTTTATGAATCACTATGAAACAGTGATGATAAAAGGGTTCGCGAAAAGATGAGCGTATCCTGACTCACCGATGGCACCCGTCATAAACATATGCTAAATCGAGTCAGTTGTTTACCTGAACTAATTCGGGAACGTGTGGCATAAGTCAACATAGGGCATTACATAAATTTTGTCACTGATGCATCAAATTTGGAATGTCAAATACATTTTTGTAGAAAATGACTGACGTCAATCCCTACTTAAGTACAACTGTGAACCTAGAGACGAACACTGCCAAAAAAAGAACCCCGAACTTGATGAGTGGGGCATCTGTTGCCAGCACAGTCATGCATCCTAGGACAAAGAGCGGCAGGATGATGTACAGCAGAAGGATCCCTGCAGCCTGCTGCAAGAGAGGTTCAAAGTCCTCCCTGTAGTACATAAACTTCCTCTTCAGCTCGTTCCTGATGTCCCCGTTGCAATCATTGTTATCTTCATCTGGGATACAAAACGTAGAATATGTTTTTTATTAATGCGAACATTTGATAAAACATAGGTTTGTTTGTTCCATGCATATTTTGCAGGGGTCTGTAAATAATCGACTCTGGACCATACAATCTAGTAATCAACGGACATGACCATCGATCTACTCAAATGGGATACGATGATATGTGCCAACCAAACCAACGAGCCTGACCACCCGATCCCGAATAGTGGTCCATTAGTCGCATCTTAAGACAGGCATGGGTAACTGAATGTCGACCAATTCTAATCCGTGATTTCACGGCTAAAGCCTATATAGGTAATTAATATTGATGTATGTTGTTTCTAGAGGATGAATATTACTTCCGATATTGCAACATTCTAATATACATGTACATGATGTAACCTAAACAGCCCAAACCCCAAATAGATAGTATTGATACCGAAAAAGATCAATATGTCTACTCATAATCCATGAATTAAATAAAATGTTTGACGCTGTAAGGGCCAAATATATTAACCAAAATATTGAAATTTGCAAGCTGGCAATATATTAATATATTTGCTCTATAATGGACAAAGTAAAATTTAAATGATGCCTCTGGAAATAGTCAAGATGTGTTGATTGTCAGTTTACAGAACATACCAGAACACGAGTCCTTATCTGAATTGCTTGTGGCTTCTGTTGGTCTCGTGAAGTTGTTAACAATGACATTTCCTATTTGAAAACAGATGTAGATTAATAAAAATAGTTCACATATGAACGTCGACGCCATGGAATAACCAGTACTGATACCCACAGAAACAAATTCCACAAATTTGAAAACATAAACAGGAAAAATTGCGGTGAAACGTTTAGGAATGGATCGTTGGAGAGCATTGTATTGCTTAACCGTAATACCTTTTGTTTTCTTGTTGTTTGACGCCATTCAACAATATTTCAGATTTGTGACGCAGATCCATACATAACGAATCTGGACCAGACAACCCTGTGATTGACATAATGATCTTCGATATGATGACCCGTGTCAACCAAGTCAGTGGGCTTGACCTCCCGATCCCGTTATTGCCTCTTACGACAAGCATGGGTTGCTGAGGACCAATTCCTACGTCTTGTGTTGATTCAATGTAACATTCACTAAAAGGCCAGAGATTACCTTGATGGGCTGGACCGCTGCTTAAACCTGCAGCATATACCGTATCCACTGTTCCCCCAGCTACTCCTGTCGTATGGATTTGAACAGGATCTAGTTCAGAAAGGTAATTCAATTTGAACAGTTTGAACATGAGAGGATATTCACATTTAGCTTCCATTTATTCGATCGACATGGGAACTACAAATACATGTAATAGAGAAAAATGAGAATAGTGAACATTTACTGGCTGTTCTGTTTCGACACATTCCGTTAAAGCTTACACATTAATTAAAGTATCGTGACAAATACACCACGCTCGATAAACTTGCATATCGAGTGGCAATATATTTTAGGTATATTTACTTATACTTTCATATCTTCTCTATGTTTCCAGCAGTGCCACACTCACCTGACTCCCATCGTCTCGTAGGACCAGCCAAAGGAGGCTCTGTAGAAAAAAATGTTTAAAGTAGAAATCCATTACTAAGACCTATCAAAACAGTCACATTGAACAAACTCATCATGCTCTCCTCTTCGGGGATTTAGTTCACAGGTGTATACTGCTCAAAGCGTTAGGGATGACTGGTCACTATTTCTGAAACGTCGTTGTTTTCTGAATTGAGACTCTGAGTGAAATGAATCAACCCTACATTATTCCAGTGTGCAATGAGGAATATGAGAACCATCACAACTCACATGAATGTATCAATGGCTCATCCGTCCATAGGGTAGCGTTATATTCGTGAAATAAATCAACAATTTTGGTTTTAAATGAAACAACTTAAGTTCAATAACAGTTATATGAATTTAAACCTTTAATTACCCTTTATGGATCTATACCCAGCTTTATAAACATCTTAATTCACACATAAGTTTAGACCTATTTGTTGAAGTTTATATATCACACTTGTGACTTTTGAGGTGGTGGGTTAGCCTAGTGGTTAAAGTGTTTTCATTGCTCGTAACCCACAAAGTTATAATGTGTGAAGCCCATGTCTGGTGCTCCAAGCCTCGATAATGCTGGATAAAAGCTAAAAGGGCGTAAATCGCCACTTTCCTACACTGTGTTTTCTTACCGGTCTGTCGTATGTCCGGGACGCTTTGGCTAGAAGCTTGACACTGAAGCTGGGCGTGGCAGCAGCAAGATCCCCTTCTGGTCATGCAAGGACCAACATCATGGCCATACTGCCCTGCAGCTGAATAGGCACGTTGGCGGGCCGGGGAGTCCGTTAACGCCTCGTCGCGATCCGGTGACTGTTAACAGTAGCAAGACTGATTTATTGTTACGGGAAAAGACAATATAGCGAGACAACAAACAAATGGAAGTGTTATAGAAGTCATGCACTTGCACGAGTGCAGCTCTGTGTCATGTCGGAATGAACCATTTATACCCCCATTGACAGTTAAACTACAAGCGTGGCCTTTCTGGAATACAGTTTCTATCTTCATTCTTGTAGTTTCAAAAGTCGTTCTCCAGTTTTCCAGTTCAGTAAAAACAAGAAAAACCAAACAAAAACAAAAAAAACAAGGACATCATACCCGCCCCGAAAAGATGGAGACTTAGAATGTCCACATTCATATAATGACGCTTGTTGGTATATTTCATTTTTGATAACCCACATATAAGTACATTAAAGAACCGGATGGTTGGAGCCCCCTGAGTGTATTTTAGAATATATAAAAGTATACATGTTAGCGCCTTTCGTAAGAAATATCAGAATGTGTCAGCTCAGTACTTACTGTAAATACATCGTTACTGTCATTACTCGAATCACATGATGACACTTCCCCAACTTCCAACGGATGTGCTGTTCAATAAAAATGAAGGAAAGAGTAACCACTGTCCTTTACCCGTTAACAGTTCAGCGATGGCACTAATAGTTATGCAGTGATATCCAAGTGATAGCTTCACATCTAATATGAGCATGTATTCCGTAAACTATGAACATTCTGACAAGTATCTTTCTGTCTGGTTGTTGTTTAAAGACGCTATTTAGCGGAGGCCTGTAAATAATTGTGTCTGGACCAGACACTCGAGTCTTCAGCCTCACAAGAATCGATGCAAAACTCCTTGCGAGTTGTATAAGAAAAACTGATAATGCATTTTATGTATAAATTATACATGACTGTATTATCTTAAGTATCAAGCTGAGAATGAGTTTGACAATTTCTCAGACAGATGTCTACCGAGATGTTATCTCTATAGGTTCTGAAAAGCAACCTCTTCGAAATGAAGAGTAAAGTGTTGGTGTTTTGTGTATGAATAGCATTCTAAACTCTGTCAAAAAAGAAACGCAACCCCTGTATTTTAGAGATTTTGATCTGAAGTTTTAGGACGACACGGCATTTTTATTATTTAAGACAGAAGTCTGAAATTTGGCAGAATAATAACCCAGATGGGCATGTTTAAAATTGTCATTTCAAAAGTCATCTCACAGACACCAGTTTGTCACCAGGGGGGCGTCTTTCTCAGTATCTCGTATGAGCACCACGCGCTGCAATCACTGCACGGCATCTCCTTGGACAAGAACGGATAAGACGCCGGATTCTTTCCTGGGGAATGGCTCTCCACTCCTCCTGCAGTGCAACGGCGAGCTGTTGCAGCGTCTGTGGCGGCGGCTGACGTTGACGTACGCGTCGATCCAGAGTATCCCACAGGTGTTCAATAGGGTTGAGGTCTGGTGATTTAGAGGGTCATGGCAAGACATTGACGTTGGAATTCTGCAGAAAGTTCATTGTTGCACGTGCAGTATGAGGCCGGGCGTTGTCCCGTTGAAAAAATCTGTGTCTGTTGGTCAATAATCGGGAGAAGGTGAAGCTCTAACACGTGGTTGATGTAACGTTGGGCTGTCAGGTTCCCTGGAACGATCACCAAGTCTGATTTCTGGTTGTATGAGATGGTTCCCCAAACCATGACGCTTTCTCCGCCAAATCTGTCCACCTGTCGGACGCAGATGGGCGCAAAACGTTTATGACGTCTCCTATACAGACGCTGTCTTCCGTAGTGACGTTGCAAAAGAAAACGTGATTCATCAGAAAACCAGATTCGCCTCCAGTTTTGTAAAGTCCGTATCCTTACGTTGTTGCACCACCTGAGTCGTCGGCGTCGATGTAGGGGGCGTAGTACAGGTCCAACAACTGGTCTACAGGCACGTTAACCCGCTTCTTTCAGACGGTTCCTAATCGTTTGAGCTGACACTCTCCTCAAACCTGGTATGTGTGTGGCAGTCACGGTTGGTAGGGCATGCCGATTACGCAGGTGATGGACCCGGATGTACCGATCTTGAAGGGGGGTCGTGATTCTTGGCCTTCCACTTCTCGGGCGATCGTTGGTCAAATTGAAGTTGTTGTAGCGGCTCCAAAGTCGGGATATCGTTGTTTTGTGAACATTTAGGTGCCGTGCAACAGTTCCAAAACTTTCTCCGGCTTGAACACGACCAATGGCGATATTTCGGTCGGCAGCACTCAATCGTGGCATTTTTTAACACAGCTTTTCGGCGACAAATGAATGAATATAATACGGAAGCACATGGGCTTTTATACACCCCTACATTAACTGCCATTTTCATGATTTGCATGTGTTTTTTTTTTGTGCGAAGTCACCATGAGGGTCATTTCATGCGTTGTGACGGAATAAGCAATAAAATACACTTATGCGTACAAATGCAGTTGTTTGGATGGTAATCTTCATTAATTACGTGTATCATTTCAATACATTCGAATAAAATTTAGTTTGGAAGCAATAACTTCATTCAAACGAATTTTTCATATCTGAGGACAGGGGTTGCGTTTCTTTTTTGACAGAGTTTATTTTATCAACAATTTTTACCTGAAACTTCTTTCTTGGTTCGGTTGTGCCGGTCGAGTATCCTTTCTAAAACAGATCAAAATGATTGTCAGTTGATGAATCGAGGAGATGCTAAAAGGGTTTAACGTCGTTTTCAACAAAACTACTCAACGGCGACGTAAATGCACGTGTGTTTCTGCTTGTGCAAATCCGCACATCGTTTTTATATTGTCTATCCACTGAGATACCATGGGACAATCTATCATGGATACCCCACTCAGACATAGTATCCTGTATCAGTCGATCAGTATTTCCTTTATCCGCTCCGTGCTCCGTATCACAAGGCCCTCCTGTCTTTGCAAGGATTCAAGATTAAAATACATTTGAGATGACCCCCGACTCGAAATGCTTCACAATACAATAAGTCATGATCATGATTTATTGTACTGTGAAGCATTTCGAGTCGGGGGTCCTCTAAAAATATTATTGTTTTTAAGGTACTGTGAAGCGTTTCGAGTCGTGGATCATCTCAATTATTTTTTTTTATTTATCTATTTATTATAAACAAATTCCGGTGCCTTGTTATGCCTGTGGATGGAATCACTGAACTTAATTAGGAATACGAAACGGCGTCAAAATCATGCTGTCAGGTTGTCAAGATGTCACATTCTACGCACAATAATACAGACAGAACATAAGATGAGTTAGGAGAAGAGATGAGAGGCTAAATATGATAATGATATTTATCATTACAATAGTAGAACATGACCTACTCTGTTTCCTTGTAAACTGTTTTTGATCATGGCACTCCGTCTGGCCTTGTTGAAACCTTTTGCGTCGCGAGAGTGTTCTTTTCAGGATTGCCAAATGACCTGCAAAGTTTTCACGGATTATATGTTTTGGAAATAATCATACTATTTCACATTTGGAATCCACACTCGAACTAAAATTCGACAGACGTAGAAGCTAAGCTGTTTCAAAAATTGTATACATTTAAGGGAAGATAATTCGTACAAGAAGGTAGATCCGTCACCTATGCCAAAGTTCCCTTTATTTCTTCTGTAAATATATCTATCGACCTGGTATGATTACATATTCTCATTGTCTAGTCAGTACAAGCTTACTAACCCATTACGTTTCACATGTTGAGAAATCCGTTATTTCCGCCCACTCTGCAAGAGACAAATATATAGATGAGACATTAAAAGATATACATAGATATTGAAACTTAAGAAAATTAATATGAATGATCTTTATATGTAAATATATATCGTTAGCTATATACTATTGATTCATAATATTTCCTATTAATTTTATAACAGAAGGGATATGTTACCGTCAAAGAAAAGCGTAAAGTGAGTGAGTAAGGTGGGTTTTACGCCGCTTTCAACAATATTCCATCAATATCACGACGGGGGACACCATGAATGGGCTTCACACAATATACACATGTGGGGAATCAAACCTTGGCCCGTGGCTACCACACCGCTTCTAAAAGACAGCAGGATACAGGAATAGGTAACACACAACTCACTGCACACTGGAATTTCAACTGGGGTCATCGGTTTGACAAGTGACACCTGGGTGAGTCTTGCTACCTCGTACTATAAAAGTGTGTCACATGTTCACACTGAAGTACAGTTGTTTATGGATATGTTGGAAACTGATCACACAATGAAGGAAGATAAAAAGATACTGGTCATATGTGGCAAAAGTGGTTACTTCTTACTGTGATAGAAATTATATAATGTAAAGTACAGTGACAGCGAGGATGTGTGCACCGTGCGTATTTTGTGTGGGAGTTATGCGTAATCTACACGTATATGTACACGAATATATGTCAGGGATGGAGGACTTTCTGTATGCGAGAGCATGTACGTATACTAAGGACTTCCTAACTCAACATGAGCTACTTTACAGATCTCTTAATTTATCTTATTCAAATTATAATTGTATGTTAACAGTCTCATAGGCAATACATGCCTGGATGTCGTATTTAAATTCCCTTTGTTCGTCTCTCTCTCTCCCTCATAATAACTGAGGTGTTACAAATACAGAGGTCGTCGTTAGTACATCGAGTCGTTAAACAGTTTCAGCTCGACTTGTAGGACACAAAGAAGTCCCGTGTAGTAGGCAATACTTCAACAGGGGTATTTGTCTGTTTTATCAATGTACTCTCATATTATTTCAACTCTCCAGGGGTATATTATCTAACGTTGGCCATCATCCAATTTACACCTGAGAGTTTCCCAGGAATGGATCTATTTTCGTACTTACGTCATATCATGACGTATACATTTGTCGAGACTATCATATACGAAAATAACTGAGGTATTTCAACGTCTACATACACTGAGGTCATCTTCAGTACATACACTCATTACACTGTTACGCTCCACTTAAAGAACCACTAAACTTTGTTTTTTGTTACTCTTTTAACTATTACATATGAAAGATTTGTGGTTAGTCTTATGCGGAACACCAAATTTATTCTTTAAAAACTTGTGGTTAATTAATACCGAGCGATTAAAAGTGGCCAAAAAGTCGCCTGCTTCCCTCTCGCCCGCCAACGAAACCACAGACAGGTTACGTAACTCTGTCGCCAGAGCACTGCAGTGACGTCATATGAGGAACGATTTTCAGTTAGTTGTATAGAAAGTGTGTAGCACGCTCATCATTTTGATGATTTCTCAACATCAACGACGACATGCCGAATCTTTGCTTTGTCGTCAATTGCTCCTAGGGGTTGGGCGATGGTGTCCCCATGCGCAGATTTCCACAGGACCCCGCAGTTCGTGCTAGATGGGTTATGTTTGTGAGTGCGAAGCGAGCGTTGTGGAAGCCTGAAACGATATCTACTTGTGTTCAGATCGCTTCACGGAAGTTAAAGAATCAAAACTACTTACTAGTTGTAGTAAAATATGCATATGATTGATGACCATAAAGATTTTCCATGACACAACTTGTAACATAACGATTTCTTCCTCGGAAGTGAGGTTGTGGTCGAAGTAACAATAATATTGTAAGTAGTATTATATTGACACCCACCTCGCTGCCAGGAGAAAAATTGTTATGTTATACGCTATGTCATGCAAAATCCTATTGGCCATCAATACAATACATATTTTACTACCAGTAGAAAGTAGTTTTGATTTTGTAACTCGGTGAAAACAAACCTAAATACCATTTATCCTCAGACTGGCGGATGTTCCCGACAGGGCGCCGCCATTTTTAAAAATATTTTTTTTGTTAGAATTAATGAGATTATAGTTTGTTTTCATCAAGTTAGAAAATCAAGACTACTTTCTACTCGTAGTTAAATATGTATTGGAATCATAACCAAACGGATTTTGCATGACACAACTTATAACATAACGATATCTTCCACGGAAGCGAGGTGGGGGTCGAAGTCACAATACTGCGCGATAACTTTCTTGCTACATTCCCATGGTTAATGTCCACTCACCAGTATGTAGATACTAGTCAATGTGCGTCTTTATATTTGGTCTTATAATCCTAATTAGTTTATTATCATACTTGTATGCATTTTGAAACTAAATAAAATACAGACGATCTGCTGATACTTAGAGTGAATTTATAACAGAGCTGTAATATCTAGACATTTTATAGTTTGCCAATGTGAATCATAATTCGCACACACACCCTAGTGCATGTTGTCTGTCTCATTACACTTCACGGCGAAAACAATGATTCTGTTGAATGCTACGACAAATGAATAAAAACAAAGTGCAAATATTAAAATTAAAACAGATTAAAGTTATAGGAACAATATCAGGCTATTACCTTGTTCGAGGAATGTATCCATCAATATCCACAAAACTGTTCCAAATGATGTGTCCTTTAACAGTTTAATATACGAAAAAGTGATAAATCTTTTCAGGTAATCTAAGAGTGTTACCACTAATTATACCTGTTATAAATTCATTAACTGACCATCAAGTGAATGATGACAAATAACATGTGTAGGTTTATACCACCTAACACGGGTTACTACAAGGGAGTATTAATTGCTGTATTGCATGTGAAAACTTATGGGCCGACACTGTTTTGAGAATACAAACAGATTTTTACATGACATGATTAAATATCGAGGTAAAAAAAACACAGAAATGGGATCAATTTGGATCAGTCATTATACAAATAGGGCCTAACGACACCAATCGATTTTGACAGAATCGTCTATGAAAACAAGTTGTAACTCGGAAACTAGGCAAAGCAGGAAACAAAATTAAATGACAGTAGATTGTGAGAACATAAAGCTTTCATTTTCCACAACAATTGTCACGATTTCAGGTTTATACAAGCCTTAAACAAGATAATTTAACCCCTAAAATGTAGATGAATTCTGCATCGGCCCTCAAAGCTATTCCTCATATGACGTCACAGAGGCGCGCCGCTCTGATTGGTTGAAATTTCGTTCGCGGGTGAGAATTGTGCACTGTTGTCAAAAAGGTCGATTTAAGTCAATTAAAGGTCGAAATGAGTAGTTTTAATGACGGGGTTTCATTTATAACGATGCCAGTTAGTGATTTATGTATTTGTACCCCCTAGGGTTTATGTGACCTTTAAACGACACACAGAAGGGCACATCTGTTCGGGTCACCTGTATGAACTGAAGCACAGTAGCAAGAATGTATTGCAAGATTACTTGGGGTTTCCCGAAGATTACATCACTTGATCTTGTTCAGTTCATCTGAGATTCCCCAGGAAAGGGTCTAGTTTCATTTACAGCAAGGGCGGATCAAGGATTTCGAAGATGGGGTGTGGAGTGAGGCTGGAAGATGGCGATGGGGGTTGGGGTGGTTGCACATACATCATGAAATTCAAAGGTTAGGGGGAAATACTCCCCTGGAATAATTATATCGGCTGGGAGGGGTCAGAATATCAAGGAGAAGCAATTCTAAATATCATTATATTTTCCAACACAGCGTGCAATAAACAGAATACACTCTGTGAAAGTATCCGTAAGAACTTATGCATATTTCTTGTGTTACGTGTAGGTCACCAAGCTGAAACGCTTAACCGGGAATTAGGTGTATAAGAACTAGGAGTGAAGCCAGGAAACAACAGGGAAATGTGATTTGATTAACAGTTATATTCTAAAATTAACTAAGTTCACAAATCAATACAAATTTTAACCGACCCGTGAAGATCCGGGGTAGAATAGATCTTCAGCAACCCATGTGCTTGCCATAAAAGGCGACTATGCTTGTCGTTAAAGGCGACTAACGGGATCGGATGGTCAGTTTCACTGACTTGGTTGACACATGTCATCGGTTCCCAATTGCGCAGATCGATGCTCATGCTGTTGATCACTGGATTGTCTGGTCCAGACTCGATTATTTACAGACCGCCGCCATATAGCTGGGATATTGCTGAGTGCGGCGTAAAACTAGACTCACTCACTCACTCACAAATTTTAACCAATACAAAAATAAGCAGCCTAAAATTAGCAGCGGGTTCGTTTTTCGCTTTTCGTTTTTCAAATAACGAATAACGTGATAGCAACGCTATTAACGAAAACCTTACCCGCTGCAAACTTCAGGCTGTCACAAAGATATCACTATGACTGTACAATATATTGTGGCAGTACAAATTCAGAGGCAGTATTCTACAACAGTACTGATTGCAGCAATAAAGACATTATTAATGCGCTAAACTTAAAAAACATCATTCAATAGGTGAATGCTCATAGCGCTAACAATCAAAGCACAGCATATTATTACCCCGTATAACCCAAGCTACCTGTGAGGTGCTTGAAAGTTAATATCGGGTACCTATTTTCTGCTGGATGAACAGAGGCAATTTTGTACAAACTGGTTTGCTTAAGGTATCACATGTGTTCACATTCACCTCTTAGTGGTAATCCTTTCGTGGTAATCTTCTCAGTAGTAATGCAACGGAGGGCTAGGCAGGGCTTGTTCCAAGGTAGAGAGTAGGCACACAGAGTGATAGTCTTATTGTATCCATGATAGCGTAATGGCTATCAATAAAGAGTTGTACAACCCCAGAGAAACATATAGCACTCCAGTAAGCCCCTAAAATAGCATCAGTATGAGCATTGCGCAATCTTAGGCGTACGCCTTAACAAAAGAATCACGACTTGAGAAACTGGATGTGCACAACGTTAACCGTTGTGGAACTCGACTCAAATCAACAATACTTCTTGTTCTATAATATAGAGAGTGGTGTATGTCCCTTCCCGTCTGGTCCTGGTGATTTATATCATTTCTAAAGGAACACATCTCCTTCACTAAAAATCTTTGTCCCTGGATCAGTTGTGATCATAATATTTACGATGCAGCAAAGAGTACACACCGATTAACATTCTAACTGTGTACGATGGCTAAACAATACCGACACAGGACGAGGAAAGAACTTTAATCAACATATATACAAAAACCAGAAGGGAGAAAATGATTTCAAACAGATATGTTATTAAATCAATTCATGGGACTAATCCACGTCAACAAGCATTCAAAAGATTAATTTGCAATTATGTTCACGTCAAAATCACACGACAGTACAGTGTGTCTAAATGTATGCTTTGTCATACACTCCCAGACTTCTTTATACTATCGTCACGTATGCCTCCTTTAACCCGAAGAATGTAATTCATTTCACTAAAACAAAGAATTGTTTCTTTTAAAACATATTTACATGATGATGTCTAGTCTGCATGGTCGCTTATGAATATGACCGGTACTATAACTCAATTAGTTTAAGTTATTTATGTTTGTCAATCAATATTGAGTTTTTTACATCTGATAACACTAAACTTCATTGAAGTTTATAGCGTAAGTCGCATGTCCGTTTTGACGCAAGCGAGGACAGCCTTTAGGAAGTCCTACTTGTTCTGCCTGGTATCAGGGCGAATTCGTGTACCCATAATGTCTATCTCTATTTTCTTGATCAATCTGTTTTTGGGTATTGATGTGTCATCATGGCCTGACGTTGCTTCCGCGTCTAACAATCACTATACGCCCTTTTCATCAGAACTGTGCACGGTATGAAGTGTTTGGGACACACACACACGCACGCACGCACGCACACACACGCACACACACATCATAAAACGCACCCATCCTCCCACCGCAAAGTCCTGTTGCAAATGTTCTTAAAGATTTGTCTTTGACAATAGCCAAATAATACGGTAGCATAATTACGAAGAGTTCCTCGTGACGCCGAAAATGCGAGTTCGATTCCCAAAATGGGCACATGTGAGAAGCCCATTTGTAGCGTCCTCTGCGTGGTATTGCTGGAATAACGCTAAAAGCAGTTTCACGCATACACAGCGGACGTTGTTACACATTCAAGCATCGGTTTAAGTGATGGTGCGGGGCGGGATCACTGTGACTCACAGAATATTGGTCCTGTGCATAGAGCTCAGGTCACATATCAGTTGAAGTTAAGCTGCAGTGGGCATGGAGAGCCCTTGGATGGGTGACCGTGTTTGGCAGCTTGACTCCTGATAGTTTCTAAGAGAAATGGGCATCTGCACGCATTGTATCTTTGTGGGAAATCGAACCCAGATCTTCGGCATGACGCTTTAACCACTAGGCTACCCCATTGTCCCACCTTCCAGTGGTCAACACTTAGTCCCACTTGTCACTCATCGAACCTTTTGGGGATATCCTTGGACGGCGTATGCGTCCTCGTCAACAACCACCCTCAGTCAGTTTACAATCAATTTGTATATTCTCCGAACCCCGAAACAGCGGTACATAAGAAAAGTACATATAGATTCACATAATAATATAATCAGCGAGGGAGTTTAGTTTTACGCAATATTCAAGCTATATGGCTGGGCTGTAAGTAATCGATTCTGGACGAGACAACCCAGTGATCAACGGCTGATACTACAGTTGTCACGTTAATTTCGATACTTGAGAATACAAAGTAAGGCTCGATACACTCTACCTGCTCAAGTTGATCAACAAAGAACTGTTTCAGTTATATCAGAATTTATTCAACATTAAATTTTCTCTGAAAAAGGAGTACCTTGAAACATATATATTGACCTGGGCCTCCTTATACATATAAAAGTATATAAAAAACTACAAAACATCGGTAGCGGGTTTAACGCCGTATTGAACGGTATTCCAGTTGTATCCAAAAGGATGAATGAGTGAATGAGTGAGTGGGTGTATGAGTGAGTGAGGTTTAACGTCGTTTTAAACGGTATTCTATTTACATCCCAAGGGCGTGAGTGAGTGATTTGGGTTTATCGTCGTTTTGAACGGCATTCCAATTGTATCCCCAGGGAGAGAGTTAGTGAGTGGGTTAGTGAGTGAGTGGGTTAGTGAGTGGGTCAGTGGGTGGGTGAGCGAGTGAGCGAGTTGGTTTGAACTTCGTTTTGAACGGTATTCAAATTGTATTCCCAGGAAGTGAGTGAGTGAGTGGGTACGTGAGTGACTGGGTTAGTGAGTGAGTGGGTTAGTGGTTGAGCGGGTTGGTTGGTGAGCGAGTGAGTGAGTTGGTTTTAACTTCGTTTTGAACGGTATTCAAATTGTATTCCCAGGAAGTGAGTGAGTGAGTGGGTAAGTGAGTGACTGCGTTAGTGAGTGAGTGGGTTAGTGAGTGAGCGGGTGGGTTGGTGAGCGAGTGAGTGAGTTGGGTTTAATGTCGTTTTGAACGGTATTCCAAAAGTATTCCCAGGGAGGGAGTAAAAGTGAGTGAGTGAGTGAGTGAGTGGGTGAGTGGGTTAAACGGCGTTTTGAACGGTATTCCAATAGTATCCCAGGGAGTGAGTGGGTGGGCGGGTTGGTGGGTGGATAGATTGGTGAGTGAGTGAGTCGGGTTTAACGCCGTGTTGTACGGTATTCCATGTGAATCACGGCCTGTCAGCTTTGTGTAGGAGGAAAGTCCTACAACGTAGACGTTTACTGGGTTCGTCTAACCCAGTCCATTCGAACCGGGATTCGAACCCATGAACATGCTTTCTATGCTCACAAGGAACGCAGCACAGCCTTCAGTCGACCATCTCAATTCCCCTCTAAACCTAATAAGCATTTATAGGTGTAGGTGTGTCTGTACTGCTACATCAATAGGAAACTGAACCGACAAGCTGAGCAAATTCCCCAATTTACATTTCGAGACAGATGATCATGAAAGTGTTTAGGCCTAATCTCAAATGGGCGCCTTTATGTGATTTGAAACAACTATTCCGACAAACTTTGTCTTGCTCAATAAGTAAAAAAAAGTTTCTTCAGCAACGTCGTCCGCACTTCAGCCGTTTGTTTGAGAAACTTCCCATCCGATGTTTCACATTGATGATTGTTCACTTTACTACGCACGGTTGTCAAAATGCTGTCCAGGTCATCCCTGAAAAAAACAGGAAAAAAAATATGTATACCACAGTCACAAAGTTCTTAGCTAACATGGTGAATTAGCGAGTTTAGTTTTACTCCACTTTAACAATGTTCCAACAATACCACGGCGGGTGACATAAGAAATGGGCTTCAAACATTGTACCATTGTGAGGAAACGAACCCGGGCCTTCGGCGTAACGAGCGAACGCTTTAACCAGTAGTTTACACCACCGCCATTAAACTAACATAGAGAGTATAGTGCATTTGGTTCGTGACTAGGTTTTTACGTCGTTTGTAGACAAATTCCAGCAACATCATGTTGATGGATACCAGCAAGTATCGGGTCTTAGGGTTGACAAGCGAACGCGTTAACCACTTGTCTACTCCATCACCTAAGTAGGTTCGGCTTAACCAGACCTTCGTATTACCTCTTTGTACATGCTTCCAGAGCTTGGACAAGCGCCTGAATGAACCAGCTACCACTCTCCGGGTTTCTCAGAGCCTGCATCCCTGCCACTGTGGCAAATCCAAAGAAGAAATCTCCCTCTGGAGCAACCATCTTGACAGCCTGAACTACTGTTTCTTTAGCAACAGCATCACTGCCGCCATCATCACCTTGAACCGGAACAGCTACAATAGCAAGGTAGAATACAATAGCAAAGTGGAACAGCTACAATAGCAAAGTAGAACAGCTACAATAGCAAAGTGGAACAGCTACAATAGCAAAGTGGAACAGCTACAATAGCAAAGTAGAACAGCTACAATAGCAAAGTAGAACAGCTACAATAGCAAAGTGGAACAGCTACAATAGCAAAGTGGAACAGCTACAATAGCAAAGTGGAACAGCTACAATAGCAAAGTAGAACAGCTACAATAGCAAAGTAGAACAGCTACAAAAGCAAAGTGGAACAGCTACAATAGTAAGGTAGAACGGATACAATAGCAAAGGAGAACGGATACAATAGCAAAGTAGAACAGCTACAATAGCAAGATAGAACGGATACAATAGCAAAGGAGAACGGATACAATAGCAAAGTAGAACGGATACAATATCAAAGTATGGTAAAGTAGAACAGCTACAATAGGTAAATAGTATACAACAGCAAAGTAGAACGGATACAATAGCAAAGTAAAATACAATACCAGAGGAGAAGGGATACAATAGCAAAGTAGAACGGATACAATAGCAAATTAGAAAGGATGCAATAGCAAAGTAGACAGGATGTAATAGCAAAGTCGAAAGGATGCAATAGCAAGCATGGGCTGCTGAAGACCAATTCTAACTCGGATCTTCATGGGGGTATCAACATGCAGTGACTTTCGGTGACCTCTTTATGTAACGTTTGGGAGTGGCTTTTATTACCCACGTGGTCAACGTATGGGTAGTTGCATACTAATCTCGTACGTCACACGAGTATCGTATCGCGTTAACCTGTGTCGTAACGACTTGACCTGAGATTCTAACGATTTGATTGGATAACCGATGACCTCTCAATTAGGTCACATTCTGACGTAACTGTTTTTTCATTCATAACAAACACGTGAATTCATTCATTCTACAACTTAAATGCATTGTGGGAATGTAAACATTGTGAACGTTTGCCGTGTCGCTGTTTAATTGTGAGTCGAACTGAGACATTATATCCGTCGAAAAATATAAACGCAATGTTACCACCAGTGATGTTAACCGAATGAAGCAATTGCAAACCAAGAGACGGGGTGCTACGGAGTAGTTTACTGTAGGAGGCTGTATAACAACCGACATGCATCGTGACGTTGGTTACCAAGGCAGTGACGTCATTACAGTGTGACGTCATGCAACCTCTTTATGAAACCATTTCGGTTTGAAACCATAAAAGTAACAAAACTACGCTATTTTGTCAATTTAGTGAATGTAAGACGTGGGTAATAAATAAAATACCACACTGGTCTCTTTACATACGAATTATACGAAACTCGTTACCTTCCTATGGCATCAGAAACCAAAGGAAGGACACTTGTTTCGTATAATTCGTATGTAATGAGACCGAGTGTAGTATTCTCTATTTATCCCCAAATCACATGATATATATACGTGTTTATACTTACCTTTTTGGATTTCTTTGCCTCTACATGACTGAAAGAAAAACAGCTTTGGTTTGTTGGCCAGTGACGGACACTCTGACGCCTCGAAGTAAGATGTGATGGTACTGACGTCCAGCCACTCGTTGTCGGACCCCTGCACCGCCCCATCTCGCCCGTGGGTCAGGAAGATCACTACCACACAGTCATAAGCCTTGTGGTCCATCTTGGCAAGTTTCTTAATCCTCGTTTCCATCACATCAGCTTCGGAGTCGTCGAACGATTTAACGTCAAAATGGAGCTTTCCCCAAACCTCTGTCAACGCATCTAAGGTAAATAAGACAGATTGAAATTACAGATAAATATTATTTCTCACCGATCCCCTGGTATCATGAACCTTCAATGCTCAATTATCAAATGTACTATCTCTGTAATTATATATTATATATTGCCTCTGTTCACCCAGTAGAAATGGGTACCCGGCGGGATAGGTCGTGTGACTATAACCTTCCAGCGCTTAACAAGCAGCTTGGTATATCCGGGGTAGACTTTGTAATGCGCCATCCATTGAACAGCTGGATACCAGTTGGATACCAGGCGCCATAGAAATACATTTTGTATTATGGCTGTATCAACTTTCATTTTACTGTGGTGGCATATAATGAATCAAATGAGTCAAATACAGATACCGTCATGTCATGGAGTTATAAAACATTGAGGATGTTGGTACAGTTTCGGTGCACAAGTGATTTTGTAATTTTGCAATCATAAACAATTTGACATACAACAAGGAAGTTAGAGTGATGTAAATGTTCAGTACTTCGACGTGACTTATCAAGTACATATTTCACTCACTTATGTTTGTTTGTGTGTTTGTTTTACGCCGCACTCAGCAATATTCCAGCTATATGGCGCCGGTCTGTTAATAATCGAGTCTGGACCTGACAATTCAGTGATCGACATCATGGCAATCGATCTTCGCAACTGGGATACGAAGGCATGTGTCAACCAAGTCAGCGAGCCTGACCACCAGATCCCGTTAGTCGCCTCTTACGGCAAGCATGGGTTACTGAAGACCAATTCTAACCCGGTTCTTCACGGGTCCCTCTCTTATAAAGCACAGGTGATAAAATTGATAAAAAATGTAATGCGCCAAATCCATTTGTGACATTATTATGTAGTGGTCACTCGATTTTAATCCTTCTCAATCTCCTGGACAGTATACAACCTTGTGAGGTTAGCAGTCACATTACAGCATCCTACCGGGTACCCATTCAGTGCTTGCTGAACGAATTCTCAAGTGGAACGCTTGTAAATAGTAGTTTACTGCTTTGTTAGACAAACGAGCGTGGATCGGGTACTGGAAAAATTAAGGACAGCTGGAGTAGAGAAGTTAAATCAATCGCATCATCGCATACCTCTGTCCTTCTCGGTTCCTATTCTCGTTTGTTTGGGTTTATCTTCAAAGGTCTTGTTGCAGAATATATAGCACAACCCTGCAAGTATGATTGTAGAAGCAGCATTGAGGTAGGACATTGTCACAACATTGAGAAATATGCATTCTTCCCTTTTACTACTTTTGATAACAGAAGAATTTGATCATTGAAGCCATGAGTTTTTATTTTTCAATATGTAACTTTAATTTTAACATTTTAAACTTCCCTCACATGTACTATATATTTATCAAACCGTAGATAATCCTTTTTAATATGAACCATTCATCAAATAGATAATAGGAAAATTATTCATAGTTAATCACGCCGCTGTGGAGTACTTGACTATTTCTAAAACCTGCTTAAAACCATACTCACTCACTCACACATCAGTCCTACAAATCTGAGTGAGTGAATGAGTTTAGTTTTACGCCTCAATCAGCAATATTCAAGCTATGTGACGGCGGTCTGTAAATAATCGAGTCTGGACAAGACAATCCAGTGGTCGACATCACGAGCATCAATCTCGGCAAGTGGGATACGATGGAAAGATTCAACCACCGATCCCGTTAGTCGCCTCTTACGACCAACATGGGTTATTGCAGATCAATATTAACCCCGATCTTCACGGGTCCTACAATTCTGATTGGACGTAAACATGTGCATACTGACCTCTCGGTACAGAGTCCATTTTATAGGGAGCCTCTTGACCTTGACCACTGCGGTCAGCATCTGAAGGGAATGCGGATAATGATACACAGATAATGATATCACAATACGCATATACGCTTGTCACTGATCATGCTGTTCCAAGATTGTACAGAACAAACCGTTACACAAAGAACACAAGAAAGGAAGCGTGAAATACGTTACTTCCGACATAATGTTTAAGTGACAAATAACAATATAGGTTGTATTTTTAATAGTATCTCAGTTGTATTACGACGTGTCTGTTTAATGACGGAGGACAACCCGAAGTTTTACTCGGTAACCTCATGACTGCACGTATGAAGGTGACAAAACAACTGGAGTTCGCAAAAAAGATCAATACTCGGAAATATCCACGATAGTAAAAAATATGAATGATTATCTATATGAAAATAGTGTCGTCAATATTATCGTACATAAACCTTTCTGATAGAATGAAGTTTTTATTTACCCATATATGTTGGTAGAGCGAACTGTATTTCTTAAACACTATACACAAAGTTAGGTTTTTATTAATGGGCTGCTTCTAAATTATGCTCAGGACGCGGAGTTTATCACCGCTCACTACTGGAGTATAACATATATTTCTTTTAGACTTTTTTTGAATTTTTTTCTCAAAGTTACGTCTCCGATATTTATCGATAATCGAACGGTATTTAGTTAACGATCGGAATTTAGTTTAGTTTCCTTGCTGTCAGGTAATATACTACTCCTCAAACGTTTAGACTCACTAGTGTAAATGTAGCCACTTACTTCAGTCAACTTATCTAAACTAGATTTTGCAAAATATTCCATACTGTTTAAAGGTACGGTTTACACATGAACTGATGTATTGTACAACAAATTAGTAACGTTGAAAAGATTATTGTCATGAGTTCCATAAATGATGAAACTCAGAGGAAATTGGCGAATTCTTAACCAAACTTTACACTAAAACGCAGCTGTTCAAATGCAGGATATTTGCACATGCGTTTCACCAATTTGATGCATGATCCTCGCGCAATCCATCTACATAAAGTTTGCAGTTGGTTCGCCCAAGTTTGTGGAGAAATTCATCTTCGATGTAACCATATATATATACATAACATATAGCGAGTGCTTTAAACGAGTCTAACCCTTTTTGATGGGTAGTATATTATTGAAAATATTACGGGACGATTATGACGTAAATAATTCCTTACCTTTCGAGATGTCTTTTAATCCCAGCCCTCCTTCCACAACACCCATTATCTTCACATCTTTATGTTGAGCATCTTTGCCAGGACCCTTTAGTTTTATGTTAGTTGTTGAGAGATCTGATTTGATGCCTTCTGGCTTCGGTATACCTGATTGTGACATCACAATAGTAAAAAATATATGACGCCAACAAAATAGACAATACAGTTTCGAAAATTTGTCTGTCCGTCTGTCTATTGAGACTCCAAGATAGCAGATGCTATTTGTCCCACGACAAGTCCTCACAGATGACGAAATGTTTGCCTTAGACAATTAAAGGTCAGTTGGTTACCTAATGCCATTATGGTGAAAGCGTACGCACGTCAAGACGGTCTCGCTTACTTATGCTATCCATTTTCGAAAACTTATATAAACATAAGAAATAATATGGGTCACAATTTGAATTAAGGCTTTCAAACCACAATCAGCAGATCTTTTAACACAGACTGGGAGGCAACTCTACAATACACATTGCGACGCCTCAGCCCACTGTTTTAATAATAACTTTTATAACAAATGAGACTATTATGATAATAATACACAATGATCACAAGACAAACAGGTAATACCTTTACATTCATTGTCGACTCCTCCAGTGACCACGCCGGCCATCACTAAATTATCACATTTTCCTCCGTCTCCAGCTTCAATCTCTATCTTCAGACCTGCCATGGTGATACTGCAATAAGTAGATGGAATCTTGGTTTACAACATGCTTAAACACATTGTCAACAATATTCCATTAATTAATACTGGCCTAGGTCATGACGACCTGTACTCTACGTCAAATCTTGTGCTTCCGGTCAGCTCTGTTTTGAGCTCGCCTTATAACGGGGCTGTGTGACGACCTCTATTATAACACTCATGACACAAGTTGTCTATATGTTCCGGAAACATGATCTGCTCGTAAAGCCTGTCTGTGTGTTGTGCGCCTCGAGCATAATCGATCAGTGTTGTGTCTACAGACATGAAGGGTTGTTCAAACATGTGCCCATAACTAGGTCTCAAATATATACTACGGTAAACTTTACGACCGATTATGATTAATGGATCGTTGGGGTGGGGGTAGGGGTGATGGGGTGATGATTATTTTAAGGGGGTCACTCATATTTTGTTCACATGTACTGGGGGGACGTCAGCAATTTTGTACATGGCACTGGGGTTGGCGGGGAAGACGCTTACTTTGTACATACAATTTAGGGGGTGGTGGTGTCATTCACAGTGGACATGCTTCCACTTCAAAACATCACACACACACACACACACACACACACACACACACACACACACAACCAGCCATAAATTATGAACGGTCACTTACATCAGTTACGACTGCTGATTATATTGTCAACTGATTAAGTTGATGTTATATCTTCAATCATATTTTCAATGATATGAATATGGCGGACACATACCTGGTACCGTCCTCTGTTGTGTCCAGTCCTGGTTCTGAGTAAATGATTTCCTATTTCTGGAAACATGCGTTCCTCGGGAAGTGACCTACATGTTCACCGATCTAAGTCACGTGGTATGTGTCTCGTGTTCTAGTATACACGCTTTGATATCGCCCCTGAGGTTGTAATTCAGTGACCCCTTAACATTCAGAGGTTACATACTGTCGTGACAATAGCGTCCTTCAGGCCTATTTGTCTCAACCGTGGTGCGTTTCACAAGAGGCTCCAACCATCCGTCATCTCACCGTTTTGTAGCATTGTTTACGTCGCAGTATTGAATTTAGTTCTATATAAAGCTACAACACATTCAAGATTAAATACGATAACAGAAACCTGACTCTAATTCTATGTTTATCTTAGAGTAATGTTATATTTGAAGGCTGTAAGAAAGCATTTATTATAAGGCCAATCTGCACCATAGGGGGCAACTGTCACAACCACACACACATAGGCACGTCAATCATTCACCTGAAAGAATGAGTGAGTATGGTTCTACGTCGCTTTTAGCAATATTCAAGCAACATCACAACAGGAGACACCATAAATGGGCTTCACATATTGTAACCATTTGGGGAATCGAACCCTCTTCGGCGTGACGAGCGGACGCTTTAACCACTAGGCTACCCCAACGCCTCTCTCCTGAAAGTAACTTGGGGACACATTTATAGGGAATTGCGTCTGACCCATTCAACACAACGCCTTGAACTGATTAAAACGCACATGACCATTGTTCTAGGTAATCTCAATAACAATGTTAAACTGAATTTCTACCTTTTATCCTTCAGCAACCAATGCTTGTCTTAAGGGGCAACGTACGGGATCGGATGGTCAGGCTCGCTGACTTGGTTGACACATGTTATCGTATTCCAGCTGCATAGGCGGATGTTCATGCTGTTGATCACAGGATTATCTGGTCCAGACTCGTTTATTTCCGCCCCCATATACGATATTGCTGACTCCAAACAAACAAACAAACTATAAAGCCGCCTTAAACATTAAAATAATCCTCACTTCATCAAATCAAGAATCCCCTGATTTTACTTTGAGGAGACAAAGGAGCTAGGGTGTTCTTGATGCCATCTTACACGAAGGCGACGGACGTCGACCACAGCAGCAGTTGAAAGACCAAACGCACGGTATATACGAGGCAAAAGAAATTTATTTTCACAAATGCACATATTATAGCCAAGAGGTCTCATCTTTTATTTATGGTGATGTCAGCAAGTAGGTCATAACAGCGTGAGCATGAACCAACTAAGGTACTGCAAGTGTAAGGCGTAATATTATATTTGTTTTAATTTGACTTCATTGGAAATATCAATATGAAGTCGTCATGGACTGGAACGAGGGGCAGACATACCGCGTAACCGAGGACCAGAACGGTTCATTCAACCTAACGGGATTGTCAGCCGCTCATGTTTAGATACAGAAACTCACTCACACGTGACAAATAGGGTTAGGTTATAGTCTGTTTCGATAATTCATGGTCTAGCCCAAATCGAAAGTAATAATGAATACGAGATATAATTCCGGTGATGTGTTCATATGCCTCTATGCATACAAATAAAAAACAATACAATAAGAGCAACATACCATGTAACAGTTCCTGCAATTACTTTCTATTTTATCATGTAATGGCATTCATATGTAAAATGTTTAACGTTTAACGATAGTGAATAGATTTGAACACATTCTTCTTTACTCAAGGCATAGCTCTCAGTTATCTTTTTGTTCTTATGACCCGTTGAACAGATATCTATGGGATACTGTAAGGGACATTCTCGCGATCTCGCGATCTGGACCTTTGGAAACAAGCTAAAAATGCCAAAAGTGAGAGAATGTGAAATCGCGGGAACACGAGGTTTGGCCAAAATCTATTTGACAAGTCGAGATTACGAGATTTGACAGCATGTACAAATGTCGATTTCTCGCCTTTTCGTCTTGTGACAAAAAAGTGCTATGTACCAAAAACAGGAGAATGCGAGTTCGCGAGAACGCGAGATTTTGGCGAATTCTCGCACTTTGGCATTTTTAGCTTCTTTCCAAAGGTCGAGATCACGAGAATGTCCCTTATAGTATTCTATTCTATAAAATATTATTGTCATTTATTATTCAATAAATGATGAAACTCAGTGATATGGAGAATTCTTAACCAAACTTTACACCAAAACGCAGCTGTTCGCACCTGTGCTACATGTATCAAACAATATGAGTGAGCGAGTGAGTGAGTTTAGTTTTACGCCGCTTTCAGCAATACTCAAGCAATATTACGGTGGGAGACACCAGAACTGGGCTTCACACATCGTACCCATGTGGGGAATCAAACGCGGGTCTTCGGCGTGACGAGCGAACGCTTTAACCATTGGGCTAACCCACCGCCCCCGCCAAACAATATGAACCATATTTTCACCAAATACTGTTTAAACAATTTATCCATATGTGTGATTTTCTACGTTAAAGGTCTAAGATTACAGATGACAAGGGCAGGGAGATATGTTGGAGAGTGCTATTATACATGTCAATGTAAAGGGGTTTAAAATCACCCACGCCAGTTAGATCCTATGTTCGCATAACAATTGGCACATGGCTGGAATGCTATATAAAAATCCCGGTATGTCTTACTGGTCCTGATTAAGTATTGTTTTCAACATACCCCGGTCATGTTGACAATTCATCTACTAAACGTCAAATCAGTTTATCCAGGTATAGTTTTTGCGAAGTTTGACTACAAAAATGTGTAGGAAATAGTGTTTTATTTATCTCTCAGTTTAAGGAAAGGTGTGTTGATATTAAGCAGCAATGTCGGAGAGCAGATTTAGATGGTTTCGCGAGGATTTCTACAGAGCTTTAGTTACTCAAATATACTCGAAACTGTAACAGTTAAAGTTTACATTACAGATGTCATCCAATTTTGTTGTTCAAATCATGAATTATTAATTGACTTGGGCAGGGGGTGGAAGGAGGTGTATTCCAGATCAGAAAGATTATGTCCATTCTGTATAAGCCCACACATTGAATCCAAGTACCCGGGTTCGATTCCCCACATGGGCACAATGTGTGAAGCCCATTTCTGGTGTCCCCCGCCGTGATATTGCTAAAATATTGCTAAAAGCGGCGTAAAACCAAACTCACTCACTCACACTATTAAACAGATGAATGGCCCTTTTTTGGAAAATACTATACTTCTATGCCGCTTCATGAATCATGTCTCACGACCCCATATCAGTGACACATCTCTATTATAAGTTACTCTAACACCTGTGCATTAGTTAATGCAGTTGAGGTCACGTGTTATACAAGGTGGCTGCATTCAGTCAGTATGAACATGCCCGGACAGACACACCTATAAACATGAGCAAGCTACAACGGACAATTATGCAAAGTGTTTATGCGCTGTTTGTTAATGGAATGTCTTCATTCATATTGTATGCGAATAACTCAAAATTAAAAGGTGTACATGGATTTAATGGTTTGTGGTCCTACACATCTAAATGTATCCCATTCTCATAAAGTGATACTTAGTTTCATAAACACCTGATATAAGCACTTTACTACTGAGCAATCGTGGTTGTAAAAGCGTAATCATGTGTCACTGGCTTGGTTTTGCGTTACTGAAATAAACATCAGATATATTAAATGTTCATTTATGTGCAAGATGTGTATGCCATATGTTCAATACTGCATTCATGCGCAAAAATATGTTTCTAACGTGAACACCAAAATGCGTAAAATCACTTTTTATCACAAGTAACAGCAATTGTTCTCAAGGAAACGGTAAAACAAGAACTAAAATCATTATGTATGTATAACTAATGATATCTAATTTTACTCATGGCATACAAATGCAGCTATGTAGCCGTGTTACAACCCAGACACATTTGCATTCGCATATAGATCAAATAACAAGTATGATAATACGAAATGCATTCATATTTTAACAAATTTTCATTTCATTATTTCTATATTTGAAAATGACAGGATTAGTTTCGCTGGAAATTGGACACTTCATACGTTTCCTTGTACGTTGAACAAAATGTAAATGAATGGTTCTAAATTAAAATTAAAGGCAATAGTATCATACTGGTCCGATTTTATTTATCACTTTAACTCGATTAAAAAAATGGACTGAGGAAATTATCATGCTGATGTACAAGTAAAGTACATCCAAATACATTGACAATGAGCGATTAACATTCAGTCATAACAATAGCAAGTCTGCAATATTGGACAAACCAGCGTACGTTTGATATGTGAGTAAGTTCAAAGCTAACGTCACATCGGCATTATTTCAGCCATACAGTACCCGTGAAGGTCCGGGTCAGAATGAACCTTCAGTAACCCATGCTTGTCGTAAAAGGCGACTAACGGGATCGGGTGGTCAGGCTCGCTGGCTTGGTCGACACATGTCATCGGTTCCCAATTGCGCAGATCGATGCTCATGTTGTTGATATAGACTGGATTGTCTGGTCCAGACCCGATTTATTTACAGACCGACGCAATATAGCTGTAATATTGCTGAGTGCGGCGTTAAACATAATTCACTCACTCACTCAGCCATACAGCGACCATACTTTGATACGAGGGGATATTACAAGTCGTCATGTATCTTGTTGTCAAACGTCTTGCTGTCTGTTTCTTCTGACATCGTTGAGACGCTAATGTTGCACTGAAGCCAGAGTATATGATATGGATAAGCGCCTGGACCCCAAAAGAGTCGTGTAGAAGTGATGGGCACTGACATACAGCTTGATGACACGTACGTTTAATTACGACCACACACTTTGGGTTAATTTTGTTTATTGTTTAACGTCGCACTCAGCAGTATTACAGCTATATGGTCTGGACCAGACAATGAAGTGATCAACAGCATGAGCATCGATCTACACAATTGGGATACGATGACATGTGTCAACCAAGTCAGCGAGCCTTACCCCCTGAGCCGTTAGTAGCCTTTTACGACAAGCATGGGTTACTGAAGATCAATTCTAACCTGATCTTCACAGGTGTACGAGGACAGGGAGCATGTTCTGCATGTACATAGGTCACCATCAAGTATGAGGTAAACTATATTTTAAACGAAAACACTTATAATGAACTGAAGATATTACGAACATTTTCCCCGGCACCTTCCTGTATATTCAAATTAAAATGCGTTGAAATCTACGGTTTTAATGTACAATAGCGAGGTTATTGAGGTCGTTATAGTCGTAGGTTTCATTTACAGTTGAAGACATATACTGAGAGAAACAAATAAAGGA